GTCTCAGCCGCTGAAGACGAGGATGGATCTTATAGGCCATCGGTGATCGCTGTATGAGGTGTCAAAACGTTGTTTCAATTTCTGATCTTTACGAAGGTAGCAATTTCTGATCGTAGGCTGTGGCCCCCCCGGTGTGGGCCACTCCGATTCTGCATGGTGACAGTCACCACTGTCACCCTTTATTTGGGTACTATACACGTATTCTCCCAAAATAGGTAGATTTTTGACACGGTAGTTGGGTGCTCATAGTTGTCATTTTCCTATTCGCTGTCTTATACAACTCCCTCGCATGGAAGTCTGTGGGAAGATGCATTTTGTCTGCATGCTCAGTTCTAAAGTTGTGTTTAGTAGTAGTAGTAGTAGTAGTAGTAGTAGTAGTAGTGGTAGTAGTAGTAGTAGTAGTAGTGGTGGTGGTGGTGGTGGTGGTGGTAGTAGTAGTAGTAGTAGTAGTGGTAGTAGTAGTATGCTTGGTCACACTTCGGTCTTGTCCAACCCTCAACTGCAGCAGCTCTACGGTGCACCTCCACGCAAAGTAATAACCAGTCGAACTAGAATTTCCCTTTCTATCGGGAGCCTAGGTCTTTCTCACTGGGAGGGGCTCTGCCGTAGCAAGGCCAGCCCAGTCACCACCAGTACCATCTGGACCTCCTTCTGGGTGAGGCCATGGTCTTGTTCCTGTCCTCTTCATCACGCTGTTATGGTAGACCATTGCCCCTTCGTAATCGTGTACCACGGAACTGGAAATCCTCAGAAACAGGATGTACACTACTTAGTTTTTGTTGTTGGTTTCTCGGCGGGAAGGATATTGCACGGTAGCGAAGTGTGGGCGTAAAGGAGGCCCTAGTTGGTGTTGTTATGGTAGGGCGCGTGGTACGTGTAAGATGATGCTGGCGAAATTGGAAATGGGGGAGATAGTCGAAATCGCTAAGTCGCGAGGAATACGTGTGACCAGTGTCGTGATGAACGGCAGGGAAGTGAAACCCACAACGGTAGGTCAGAGGAGGCCTGTCCTCCTCGTCGTCGTCGTCGTCGTCGTCGTTGTAGTTGAGCATTCGTTAGGCACAGCTACTGCGGGCTATGTATCGACTCGAGACGGTTTATATAGAAGAGAACTTCACAGCGCCCGACTGGGGGAAGAAGTGGCTGCGGGGACCACTGGCGGTGTACGATGCTGTGGTTTCGGTTGTGGACAGTTTAACTAATTCAGCGACGAGCAAAACCAAGCAGTAGATCTAAGGGAATGCAAAGTAGTCGACGTGCCTAGGAACCCAGACGAAGAGGAGGTAGGGAGTTACTCATGGTCGCATGGGGGACATCTTCTACAGGACGCCGGCAATCCCTCTAGTCCTGGCCCCCTAGCCGCTTCAAAGTGCCTCACTATCCTCGGACCAGTGAATAGAGCTGGGTATCCCTACTCTGGAGTGTTCCTGCATACTATTAGGCAACATACAGGAGTCAAGCCACGAAGGGTAAGTGGTAGTAGTCGGGAGTAGTATCTTGTCGCGTCAACTGACTGTAATACTATGTAATGTAGTATATATATACTTTTACCATGGTGAAGTGATATGACTTTCTAAAGAGTAATCGTAATACTAGTATATATGTTATAAGCACAGTATTAAAGATAACATGAATCCATCAGGTAGAGTATAGATGTCGTATCGGTGGGCGCATGCACCAAGGTCAAGGATGTTTGGCGCTACTATCAGCCCTTCCACTCTCCCAACGTGAGTCTTATTGGTATTATATCGATTTTGTAACAGGAGTCATACTCATTAACTCTAATTGCCTCGGGGGTTGGATCGTCTTCCTAATACATACTGGCATTTATGACATAAATGGACTGTAGATTCACACACACACATGAATCTGAATGTGTGTGTGGACCTTAGTTGGACTAGATCGATGTACAGTAGCTCATTTGGGATCAGTTTAGCCTGTTAGATAGGCCTAGACGGTTACGCCAATCCATTCACATGCAATCCTTTACTCCGATTTTTCTCCCTTGGTCATTCAGAGACTTCTCCCTATCAAAACCAATCAGCCCAGGCAACTGCCGTATCACAGCTAATACCGCGAGGAGGGTGTACGTCCCCAAACCAGCATAGTTGATTTCTATCGTCCCCTTCAGCATTATGTCCGGTCGCTTCTGCCTTCGTGATCGGCTTTATGGAGAACGGAATCAGTGCAACGGGATGTCCAGCTTGGGCATATGAACCGAGGAAATGGTATTTCTGAGAATATCAGGTCAGAATGGTTACCGGTAACGAGCCACTGATAGGTACCACATTGCGGTCGATTTTAAATGGCCCTCACTGGAGAAATGCTCTTGTCGCAATAAACTCGATCGAATCCACGATGCTGATGTACCGTGTGAGCTCACCAAGTCCGACCTCCACGTGACCTTTTGGGTTAACGGAAAACTCGTGCGAAAGGATGCTCGAGTGACTTGCGACTCTAGGGTGGGTCAATGGACAACCGTATCTTGGGCATGTTGTTTTCTCTCAGCTACTACACAATGGATTCGTCGCGTGTTGTATTTACAACAATAGCGGCCATAAGGCAGATGTGTCAGCAGCTGCTGGGACGAGCAATGCTGTTGTTGTTCCCAGAGCGTGGTGGAGTGATGTGAAAATATTATTGAATCCTTCCTGATTCGATGCTGTTCAGTTTTTCCAAGTTAGTGTTGGGATGAATCATGTGCGCTACCACGTTGTGGTGGAACTAGTAAGAGTGAACGAGATAGAGCAGATGAATCAACCACTCGCAATGAGCAGTACCGACACTCACTTCCGATTGTCTTCCTGAGGAAGAACTCGATTGACTTTTGTGTTGGAAAATAATGTATCCAGCTAGGGAGCGCCAAGATGAGGGTAACATTCCCCACGAGGCTGCACCCGTTTCGGGTCCGAAATAGGCCTCGATGGGTACGGAAGGTGCTTTTCCTGCCGATGACTCGAGGCACTGGGAGTGGAGTTGGCTGTCGGAAAAGGGGTTCCAAAACGGCGGAAAGTTTCAAAGGAAACTTTCCGGGAATTTTTTCGAAAGTTTCGGAATGTTTCACAATTGGCGGGGAAGGGATATTCGCGTGATCAAAGCAAATGCGTTGACACAACTCTTTCTTGCAAGCCTTCGCGGGGATCATATTGCATTTGAGAACTTCCTGTTTGCTGAATTAACTGCTACGAACTTTGCCGCGGATCGTGTTGGTCATGCATGCGAGCGAATTCATATACCGGCGACCGTCAACAGTAACTCGTTCGATTACTCCTTTATGCTGCATCATGATGCCAGTGGCGCCGCGCTGCACATGACGGGATTCTACACCTTTCAAACATCTAGTTCGTCTCTGGAACCATCAATTTCGTCGGGACGCGCGAAGTTGGAGGTACGTATCCGAAACGGGAAGATCATATCTATAATTAGAACTTTCAACTTCGTCATAGAACACTCGAGTTCGTCCGAAGTCGATAGGAAGTTCAAGTTCGTGTTGATAGGTCCGCAAAGGTGAGTATCTGAAATCTAGTGAACGACAACTCCTGAGTGAAACGATGATGCAACACCTCCTCAGCCTCTTCAGGGAATATATCGTCAAGCATTAGAAACCAGCCGTGCGACTGCCATCCGATAACACAGGCAAATAACGAGCCTAAAGCCACAAAAATCATTAAACATGCAACGCAACGCTCCGCCTCCACCACTGGTGATACCTCCTGTTGGTCCTTCCTAGCACCCCTAGGTGGTATCATCTCTCCTGTTTGGTAAAATCGAATGCCCGACTCTTGCACTGGCACCACTCTAGAGGGGTTATACCTGACCAGAGAACCTCCCTTCATACAACGGCCGCAACGCCCTCGCCTTACAGCATCTGCTCAGTAGTCTCACTAGTCTCAGCCTTGCTAGCCCCTTGAAGGGGCCCCCTTCGGTCTTCTAATCGACATCCATAGGGGCCGCATCGGACTCCTCAGACGCCTACTCTACAAAACGTTGATCCCTCTCCCCCTTATCACCTGCCCACTACCGTATTTTCCCCCTAACCAGCTACACCAGAGTTCTCCAACGTCGGCTTGGCCACCACCGAGCCTCGGTGACCGAGGTCGTCTGAAAATGCAATATTCCTCAATTTTCGAGTTGTGACTGAGGTCATGCGTGGCCTTTCAGTGGAGTCGTAGAAGTCCGTCCACGAGATGGAGTGAAGTTCCAAATTTGATTCATAGTAAGTGCAAGTGGAGGAGACCAACAGTGGGAAATTCACGAGGTTGTGCACTGATGGTCCAAGATGTGTAGCCTACACAGTGTAGGCGAGTCGTTGTTGCGCGTCGCAAAAAATGACTGTCATAGCTGCAGCCTGTCGGCTGTGGCATAGCTGAGGCTCACGCGCCCGCGTACTGCGATGTCCACAAATTATTTCTGATCCAATAATTCTTTCGGTCGTTACGAAGGCGAGTATAGTCACGGAAGGAGTATTCCATAATTCTCAATTTTTCCTCACACACGAATCGTCTGTGAGGAAAAATCGTCTGGCGACGAGTCATCTGAGACGGTGTCTGATGTACCATAGCATTATCTTGCTCTTCGGCCCAAAGACTTCGGATGAACTAGAACTTGTGTTTACTCTCATCCTGTTGAGCGATGCTCGGAATAGATCGAGGTCCGGAATAGCACGATGCTATTCCGGACTCCATATATATAATATGATGCCATAATACTCATGAACCTGAACTACATATTGCCATTATGCAAGTTATATCGAGGTTTCGTCGATAATCGACATTAGGCGAGTCATATATCATACATCTGTGGTTCTTATATTGTAGTGCCATCAAAGGGGTCTCTTGCAGTTTCTATTCCATGAGAAGCGGGCGACATCGCACGCCAACACGTTTGTAATATTGAACTCTCCCTCGTCGGTGACGGGAATAAAAACGTTCAGACTGAACTGATTACATTGAGGTCTACAGTAAAGACAAACTTGTGTAGTGGAGTGAGGAA